CCGGAGCCCTCGGCGCTGACGTGAGTCGCGTAGTACCCGTTGCGAGTGTTTTTTTTTTCGCCCTGCTTTATTGATTGCCGCCGATGGGCCGCGAACCCGACGAGAAGAAAAGCAGAAACGGCAAAATGCGGCCACGGAACGGGACGGGATGACAATGTCGCAGAGATCAAAGAGTGCCCTTCCCAATTGACATTCCCGTAGCTCCATCCTGTCATTCCTGAATGCCCATCGATTCCTTCACAGTTCTTATCAGGTGTTTTTTTCTCTCCCTATTCAACATTTGTATTTCATCCGAATCACCATGACACCCATACCCTACAAATCACTCACGACGCATCATTTTGATTCACTGCACATACCCAGGTACTAATTCAGTTTGGCCAATTTCAAATTTCGCGCTCTCTCACTCCGTTTTATCGATTGTTCGTGTGATCTGTCCGAGTTACCTCGCATAAATGTGTCTCTTCATACTATTCGTACTTTTTTTGCCAAGATTCATTGTATATCGTGGCTTGAATCGAGTTAACAGTCACACCATGGAATAGTGACGATTTCCCAGATGACGTCATGTTATTGTTCATCTTCTCTTTGTTCTATCTATCTCGATGTTATATCAGCTTTGTTATTTCGTTGTTACATCGGCTCTTTTTATCCTCCTCCACCTTGCTCGCCTCATTCTGGCCATTTTCCTTCAGATTTTGTATATCCTTGAAGATGGTCTATAATGGGGTAGTCCCTAGAACGATCCTATCACTTATCCAGTACTAATTGCGGTTGTGATGAGGTGATAGACTTGAGGATCAATCATTCTGACCCTCCTTCTGACCACGGTTTTCTTCTGTGCTAAATGAACCGTTTAAGGTGAGTGTTGCAAGAAGCTGATCAGACAGAAAATTCAGTACGGAACTAAATTCCTACCGTAGTCTCACTAGAACATGAACTACTGATGGTATTGAGTGTCGTAGATTAACTTGTATTAAGTGGGAATTTGAATCGGTTTGAAATTTTCATTTTCGATTTTGTGGTAGGTGTCCGTTTTTTAGTTACATAAATATCTAAATAAAATATCTATTTTCACGATTCCTTCCAAATCGATAGCTTAACAGGTTTAATTACTAGTAATTAGGGCCGGTAATGAATTTCATGAAAGAAATGGTTTTGGCTGGGAAATGAAAACAATGAATACGGTCGAAGGAACGTCAACGTTATCAAAAATGTCACGCAAAATTGGCTGAATAGGCCGTTGAAAATTGTTTTGGCATGGTGCCAAAGTATTGGCGAACTCTCCCATTGCCCGTTGTTGATTCAATGCCCTTTGCGCTGTTCTCTCACACATTGATATTCACATCCATCGAATCCTTTTCAAAATTTTCCGTTACATTTAATTACTTACTCTTTTTTCTGAAATTCTCAAATCGATCGCTACCGTAACCGTTGAACAGTCTATGAAGATGCTATTGATCCTGCAATAATTTTATAGAAGGACAATAGATGGATGATATTATATTTGAAGCTGTACGGCCATGCGAATCCGATCAAGTCATTACTACAGGTATTTTTTTCTGATTCTTCAGCAAGTTCCTATTTAAAAAAAAGAAACATCTGTCCATTCTTGAAAACTTTGGACTTGAACGTGACTTCCATGAGCTTATATGAATTAAATTTACTGCGAAGTTGTCATCCTTATCAGGTTTGCGATCAGGTTTTTCCTGGTGCCTCCTCAACCTGCCCTTTCATTATACTTTTGTGCTGCAGATACTGTCTTGAGCATGGCTCAAATATGGAGGAATAACTCTCCCTAATTTGAATGTTCTCTGTAGTTCGCAATATGAGACTTTAAGAAATACTTGGTAATTCTACATGTTGCTCTAAACTTGTTACTCGTGATTCATGAAAATATTTCATGGACAATGTGAAAAAGGTAACCAGTAACTGCTTGATATCAGGGAAAACTTACTACTTCGATTCGAAAGATGAGATTTTAGGAGATACCTGGTAATTCTACCTGTTCCCTTGAACGTTTTAATCGTGATTCACGATAATATTCCCATGGCAATGTGAAAAAGTAACGAGCAATTGTGTGATATAAGGGAAACGTGCTACTTATCCCTTTGATACAGTAACTTGCTGTTTTTTATGTCTAAAAAAGTTCCTATCTACAAGAGTACTTGACTTTTTAAAGGATTTTCGTTGAAAAGAATACCTCTCCTCCAGCCGTAGGTTGGGTACGGCAGTCTTTCCGCCGGTTCTCGTCTCATCAAGGTTCTAATATCTGTGTTGAAATCTTATCGACTGACTAATTCATCGTTCAAAGTATCTATCCTTACTGTTACTTTGTGGAAACCTTTGGTAATGTAGCCTTAGAGCACTTAAAAAGTTTAGGACCCTGTGCCTCGTGGTTTCGGGTTCCAAGTGTTATTATTACTTATGGACGTCTTTTTTCGCGAAGAAGTCGCATAGCATCACGCGTGACGGATTTGTAAAGTAATTAAAGGTCCCTCCCCTGATGACGTAAGAGCAGCTGGAAGTTTGTTTCTCGTCATGCTCGTAGGTGACGTGAAATAATAACTGCTGATCGCTAGCGCTCGGGACTGCTTTGAAACCTTCACGAAGGCGAATTAGACGGGAGCAACTTATTTCCCATCCCATGCCATGATTCTAAGAAGTCAATTATGAAAGAAAATTATTACTATCAAGGAGAGTCAAGGCTTTTCTGAACACTATAATAAAGTCTTGCGTCTTTTCTGGAAACGAGAAAGTATTACTCATCATAGCGAGTAGCAGTTTCGTGCTTCTGTTTCAAAACTTCGTTCCTAAGTACATATTAGTTATATTGTAGCATTCATATCAGTTTCTTCGCATGAGAGCTTATTTGAATGGGAATGGTCATCATTTAGGTTGTTCTTTCCTGGTACATGTCCCCTATATTTAGCTGGTGCTTTGCTCCCTCAGAACGACATCTGCTTCGGCTCCCATGATCGCTCTGCAGCTCAAACAGATGCCGTCCTATGAGCGTAAAACCCTCTACTCTCGACTAAGCTCAATTTCGTTAGTCTCTGCTAGGAATTGTGTCGACGTTTTAGATTACGATGAGCACTCGACCAATTAAAGGTTAAACTGGCGAGCTTCGTGCTTTTCTCATTGATGGGTTACCGGGCTATGCCAGAGTCTAACCAATGAAAGTTCTCGAGCTATCCTGCTACTCAGCCGATAAGGGTGCACTAAGGCTCATCCAGCTCAACTACTGCTTTGCAGTATGCTGGGCTTGTTCTCTGTCTTTATAAGCTGGCATAGAAAGATTTTTCATCTTCACTGATCATAATTTTTCAACCGTTGCTTCTGCAGTTGTTTCGGTATACCGGTCGGTTCAAATATTATGGCTTTGACTTGTAGAAATGCGAAGCTCATCCGCTGCTCCCTCACAACCTCCACAAACGCCGTCACCAGCGAGTTTTGAGACAGGTATTTCAATTAACTTCTTATTACATTTACTATTTCAATTACCCTTCCAATCAAAAGTATATTTCCTTTGAGCCAGCTGTGGGCCCCATTTGAAGTAGTGCTTGATTTGGCGCCTTGTCACGAAAGTATTATACATCGTACCCTATTTTTTTTTGGCTGATGATTAATGTAGTCACTGCCTCGAGCAGACACCAGTATGGAGATTGGCAAGCAAAAGTTGGTGAAAAAAGCGGACATGAATTAGCCATCATTTTAGTGCATATCCCCATTATAGAATTTAATATGTTTGCGATTAGGTGCTGATTCTGATGAAGCATTGGGTAGTGCAGGTCTACTTGTTACTGCTTGAATCAATTAATGAAAAAGAATAATTCCGGATATAAGGCCCTTTTAAACAGTGCTGCTAAAAATCGTTTCTGGATTTTTTTTCGCTCATTAAAGCTATGGAAGTATCCATGTGCAGCCTTTTCTCAGATTTCTTTGCTATTCATAGAACAGAAGTTGACGATCCATTGAAAGAACTATTATAATACTCAAGGAGATTAAAAGGGTATATGCGGTGTTGTATCCCGAACTTCTTGTTTTAACGGTGTGTCCCAAGATGTACGATATATAGACGATTTTTAACCTGAGAAAGGCCTGGCTTTTTCAATATTCACATTTTACACCCTTTTGAACGGGCTATACGTCTACTATTTCTTATGGGGGCAGGGAAGGGGTTCTGGTTGGAGTGGCTGCCTATGTTCGTGGTTTGTTGCTGCACCTAAATACCAGTAAGTGTTATGAATGTGATCATTTAACCCTTACTTCAGACTGGTGTGTTGCTCTAGATAGCAATCTTTCTTTTCTGAACACTTTTTGGTGATTTTCCAGATGACATTCAAATTGATGAAAAGAGATTTCAAAACCAGTTGTAACCCTAACTTCTAAAGTTAGACATCTTACTCAGTTATGAAAATATTACATTCTATTCACAATAACTCCAATATCAGAATTTAAATAACTTCAAAGTCAAAAGTTAACAATGCTTGAGCAGGTCCTGGTTGGGGTGGTAAAGTGAAGAGGAATTTAGCGAAGATGTAATGGAATTTCCGATCACAGCCTCGGCAAAAACATGTTTATTGAATACATCTTGTGTCGTTCAATGTTGCGATGGAATGTTCAAGTAAGAACCTTCAAAGAATATTCTGTTCTCCGTGCCGAGAAGGTCTTGGAGAAAAAAAGCTTTTAGAAAGATTGCACTCTAGATCCGCTGCTTATCTGTCTCTTCGGAGGAATCCTGTAAGAAAGCATGCGCTCTCTATCGACACAAATTCCTCTTTTCAAAGAGCTTTTTTCCCGAAGTCTCTTTCTAGCCTGGTAACCATATTGCTCCAAAACTCCCCTTTTTTATGGCAAGTAAGTAGCCCTGTATCCTCTAGGGATTTATGGTGCCCTTTGCTTTTTAATATAGCAATTCGTTTTCAGTAGCAGATCAGCCAGCTAGCTCACCATATTCCGATTCCACCTCATCAACTGCCACAGCATCAGAGCAACCACGTCGTCGTAACAAAAGCATCTCAGAAACGAAACGATCCAGTTCTACACATCCACTTTCCCGACCTTCTGCCAGTGATGCTTGTGCGACCATCGTTGCCTACCTCATGCAATTCAATAAGGTAAGCAAATCCTTAAATCTGATATTTCTATTGGGTTTTTGTTGAAATGCTGGGGTTAGAGTTTTTTTGTTAGGAGAATTTTTTTCGCTAGGGAAAGTGTTAGGGATTGTGATTGTCGATGATAGTTCTATCTAGGCTCCCGTATTACATAGTAATTGAGTTTTCCTTTTCTTTCTTCGATCAAATGATTTCTACGAAAGTATACTCGTGTTTCTCAATAAGACCGATTGGAGATGTCATTGTGTAAGCGTATTGCTTTTTTTCTCGGAAAAACGACTTGCACAGAGAACTCTAGCGTAGATTTATTATGCAAAGGAAATACACTATTATATAAGCTTCTTTGAATTTTGAATTCTGTTGATGTGAATGAATGTGAATGTTGAATGTTCACTGAAGTGCTTGCATAGTGAAACTCCGTTTCTTACATCATCTCAAATGCCGCTGATACTACTTTTTTTCAGAGCTCAGATGAAGAGTTCTCGCGTAAGGCCATCGAGTCATTAACAAAAAAGCTAAAGGATAAACGGGAAGAATTGGATGCACTGATTGCGTGTTGTGGAAGTGAAGGAAAAGAAGCCGACAAATGTGTAACTATAGCCCGAACCCTCGACGGCCGATTACAAGTTTGTTGTTTACCAGTTCGATATCTTCCACTTTCGTGTGATTTGGAAATTCCTCTTTTTTAACCACAACTTTTTCCAACTCTTAATAAGTGTCTGAAGCGGCTCTTGGTTTCTTTGCATGTGTAAACTGAGGCAGTGATTTGACGGAGACCGTGGCAGGGATCCTTAGATCTGGTGCTCTCAACTGGTCACCGCTTACATTATCGTCCATTGACATTTTGACCACACCCAGAATGTTCTTTATACATTTTCCTTGTTGCTTTCGTGAATCTTGAGAGCAGTAATATGGAAAGTGTTTCGAGCTGTGGTTCTGATTTGGTTTTAAGATTGATCGGATATCTAAATAGATTTTCTTTCCTGATTGTCTTGAAAAGAAAAGTTCACTCCTCATTTTTAATGCCACAGCTTTACAGAAGGGTGAGTCTAGCGAGTTCATTAGGACCATTACTCCCGGTAGCCGTTTGCACGCTTTTTTCTGCCCTGTTTTTGATCATCTCCTGAAGTCAGTTTTATAATTGGATTTTATAATTAGAGATTTTCATTCGACTTGACTTGTAGCCGACAGTGCAATTTCTTCGCATAATTACTTCGATAGTTTAATTGTATTCTTCTAGATCCCTTTGAACAATAACTCGATCGATTTTAGGTTGCCGGTCGAAAAGGTTTCCCTCATGTTGTTTATGCCCGAGTGTTTCGATGGCCAGATTTGCACAAGAACGAACTTCGACATCTCAGCATTTGTGAATGTGCTTTCGACTTGAAGTGCGACTCAGTAAGTAGTTTTGTTAGTGAAGCTTTGGAAAGATTAATTGAATGATAACATGCATTTCATGAAACCCATAGGATCATCTCCTTAAATGAGCGGTTTCTGGCAAAATAACAAAATTATTCGTCCTTTTTTCGAAATCGGCAGTGGTATAGGCAAGATGCATTGTTCGCTTTTTTGCCCACGTTCGATTTTTGACCGCACTTGCTGGTATCATGGGGCACGATCGATTGATATATCGAAACTAATTGCTTTATTCTCGAATTTAACTGCTTTTCCAGCGCTTCAACATGTTGGTCTCCCTTTTTCACATATCAATTGGTTACAGCTTTTACGTTAGATTTATAGTAGTTTAGGTTCAATAGGGTTTGTTTTCAATAGGCGCTTCCTTGTTCTTCCCATATTTCGGTCGTTCTTTTATAGCGAGAGTTTTGAGTTAGATTTCTATCAATCCGGAATGCTTATAGATTAATATTAGAGGAGGTAAGCTGAACAACTTACCTGAACGCTCTAAATGTGTTAATTCCATCAGAAGGTAACGATTTTCGATCAACCGCACCGCGTGAACCCACGCGCAGGGTTACAGTCGTCGGCTGTCGCATAGCGGACGACGCGCGATCCATCGGGATCGGACAGTGTGAACGCTGTGACTGTGAACGAAAAGCTTTCGTGGCTTGGTTCTAACACGCGTTGTATATCAACATGAGCGTGAAGGCAGCCCGTATGGGATGTCCGGACATATGGGGCATGAGGTATCGGTAGTCGGAGCGATGCGCTATAGTACCCTAGTGTGGAAGGAACGGGATATCAGATATCAAGTGTACCATCAATATTGAACCTTGAAACAAATAGTGAAAATGAAAGCCATTTTCAAGTTCAATTGTTTTATGTTGTATTCCTTTGTAGGTGTGTGTCAATCCCTATCATTGCGAACGTATTATGAATCCAACGCTGAACAATTTGTGCAATCTGGACTTGACGTCGCTTAAATTGGAACAGCGTTCCCCATCTGATGCAAGCGATGCTGATCCTGACCGAATTGCGGCTCTTTACAGGTTCTTTGTTTTTTCATGTTTGACTTTGAATAGGCTTTGTCCCAATATTTAGTGTTACAAAATTGTGGACTAGCTGCGATCTAACGGCCTCCTCTCAGACCGTTGCTCAGAATACTAATTGTTTTGTTGGGAGGCGGTCAACTGTACATGTACTATTTAGTGCAGCTTAGGTAAGGCTAGAGTGCCTGGCTCTGACAAATACTACAGACCGTTTACTATCGTTCAAAGTAAGCCGCCTCGCGACCGCTCGCTCGATATCAATCTTTACTGTGTGCATCTTTATCGGGTTGGGAATGTACACTGTTGCAATAGAAAGTTTCCGCGGGATAATGTATGGTTACTAAGTTGGTAGAAAGTATTACTCGTTAGCTTTTATAGTCAATGTAGCTTTGATCGCTGACATTCTTTTTGATACTGTTATGACTAAATCATTTGTTCAGGGACTTCCAAAATGAGGGAACCTGGAACACAGCTTCGTTTGGTCAACAGCAGTCCCAAAAAATTTCCCCTCATGGTAAGTAAATAGATTTTCTTATACTCTTTACTACTCCTTACACTTCCCAAGGTTCCTTATACATCTTACCACCTGGATTCTCAACTGATTCAGGCCAAACATCTTTCACTACTGGTTATCCTCTTCCTCAAGCACCTACATGGACACAAACAAAAACGGTGCGTTTCGTAAAATTTTCATCATCATTCTATGGTTCCAATGTCACTCGCCGATTGTAAGCTTAGATAATTCGATTTAGGCCTAGCTTTTCGGTTATAATTACTGAAATGGTTACTTTTTAAACGCTTTAACCTTTTCTTTTTCGTTGAAACGAAGCGAAGCACACATTCTTTTGTTGTTCTAAATGTCAACAGCTAGCACATTGTGAATGCACGTTATAACGCTTATAATCCGAAAAGTTTTAAACGAATGATCTTTCTGGATTGGAGTAATAGTTGGTCGTCTTGTGTGATTCCGTCGCTTGGATAACCAGTAGTGATATCCAGTACACTTTACGTTCCCTAGCACAGGCGTTCGGAAAACAATTTATAGCAGAGGGGGCTTAAACGAAAATCCGTAGCAACGCCCTTCCGTTCTGGTGAATCCTATATAGCGCTGCTTAACATCATATCTCCTTGAAATACCACTTCTACTTTTACGCTATGATAGTTTAAATTCATATTAAGCAAACTACATTTCTTTTTTTAGGAGTCGGTTCAAGGTTTCAAAATACTGACAATGTTAAATTGTCCAACAACTTATCCTCAGCAACTTTCAGATAAATTCAACAGCCGACATGTCCAGTGGCCAACTGTTTCCCATGCCAGATAAACCAACGGTGGTAAGTTTTTTTTTTAAGCGATATGACTTTGAGGTCCAAAAATAACCACACATTACCCAGTTATTCTTTTGCAAAGATACTAGCTTTGCAAGGGTGTGGTGCAGTAGGAACGAAATAGTCGCATCGCGGCGAGGGAGACGTCGTGCGCGAAGGGATGTGAAGAACACTAGAAATGTTATAATGAGACAAATGGTCCGCGACAGCCGGGTGCGGCGAATCAATTGCACAAAACCGTTCCTACTGCCCGTCTCCCGCTTTACAATTACGTTTTTTTTCATTTTCCCTCTCTGTAACGTGACCATTTAGCCTACTGCTATGCTACCTCCAAATGGGATTTTGCAACAGCCTCAACAACCATCGCAACCAGATTTTTCGCAACTTCGATTTGACCCTAGTCATTACCAATCAAGTCGATCAGTTCAAGAGCAACAACAACAAGCATTCATGGCCAGTGCTCAACAGCAGCTCTACCAGCAACATGCTCAACAACTTCAAAATCGTCAGCTTCACGTTGGTCTGCAGACGTCTCCACATATCACTAGTTCACAAACTGTTCATCTGGAACAGCATCGACATTCTGCATTCACAGAACCGTCGGCCCTTGCACAACAACAAGCTCATCATCTGTTACCACTGCAACGGCGATTGGACGATGCTACAGTACAGGAACAGCCGAATATTGGTGTCCTCCCAACCCAAGTTGCCACAGCACCGAGTAACATATCTGATGAAAAGGATAAAAAGCTTATATCACGTCCTGTACCCGGACAACCATATGGCAATCTGTGTGAGTTACAGCGTTGCTTAGATTCTGTTCCTTCAGTTAAATCGCCTGCGACAGCATCAAAAATAACAAATTAATTTTGAAATATTGCAGTAAATGCGGAGTTCGTACTCGGGAATAAGTTGAAAGTGAACAGTTTTGAGCCACCGTCATGTCCTAGTAAGTATCATTTTCTAGTATTTTCAGATGTTTCAATATTTTTGCGTTTTCTTATCACAATCGTACTAGCGTTACTATTTAGTTGACTCGAATTGGGGATGCTTTGTCTACTACGAGAAGGAGGTACAAATAGGAAGATTACAAGTAAGTTTGCATTTCTTCAGCAGTTTGTTTTCGAGTACCAGGTTTTCTTCTTCATCAGGCGTGTTTACCTCGATTGCTGGTCTGTTTTCTTCTGCCGTAATGTGCATTACATTCAAAGCACAGAATTGTCTGACCGGAAAACCGATAGTAATGTACTTTTCCAGTGATCATCACACCAGAAAGATCTTTTGAGCTGGTGACGTTGGTGTAGCGGGATCGTATTTGGCTATACCGTGGGAGGGGCATACTTATATAGTCGAGAGCTGTTTTCAGTGGAACCTACTTGACGTTTGATGAGAACACAGCCAAAACATCTGCAATCCTTGGAATTTCACTTTACGTAAGTCAAGAATCGAATTGATAAGTTACAGGTGAAACACTCTGATATGTATATCGATGGTGGATTTGGTCAAGCATCGAATAGGTATTGCCTTGGACGCGAGAACAATCCCCTTCGAGAACACTACTGTCATCTTGTGAGGTGAGGAGAACAGTTTGATTATTTCAATATATTCTCTTTCTGGTTTGGCAGAAGGTTAGCTTTTTGTTTGTTCAGAGAAGAAATGTCACTTTAAAAACCAATTGGTATTTTGTCCTTGTTATAAACCTTGAGTTGTAGTTTTTTTCTTTGTAAATAGTCCATTAAAAATTCCCCGGAATTTCAACGAATGCGTTCAACACTAGAAAACTTTTATTATAGTGAATGAGGGGCAATGAGTCTTGGTTATACCGAAATAAACTCCTTGTCTCAGTTTTTTTTAGCTTTAACTGATTGCTTAGATCAATTTTCCAAAGCTGATTCAATGTTTTGGTATACGGATTATTTTATAGGCAAACAATCGGAGACGGCATTCGTTTATCGTTTAAAGAAAATGGTGACGTTTGGGTTCAAGTCTACACCAGACGTGCTATATTTGTTCATTCGCATTACCTTGATCGAGAATCAGGACGGAGTACCGGTGATGTTGTACATAAAGTCTATCCCGGTGCAAAGATTAAGGTAATTATAACATTTACATGCTATAGCGTCTAGTTTGGAATTGTAACACGTGCAAGTTCTGATATTGTGGTTTTTCCTTGGGCGTAAATATCGAATTGAATCCTATTTTCAAGTTTCATCTCAGGCTACCCTTATCTTCGCCATGTTTGAACGAGTTTTTCATATACAGCTTGTCCTACAAGAACATACTTGATCTCTGTTCGCATTCTGCTCTCGCCGACTATAAACTGGGCTAAATTGGGCGATGGTTTTTTGCATTTTCACATCTGTAATGATAGTCATGAAGGGTGGTGCTTACAAATAATCCAGTAGATTTGTAACGATTCAGAAGTCATTGTCCATGATTAAGGATTCGAAAGCATATCGCACGTGTTGCTAGATCACAGCTATGATGAGCAAAATCAGCTTTTATTTCAGATATTCGACTTGAACAACGCGAAAGCCATTCTCCGTCAACATATGGTGGCGTGCCAAATGGCTAAAGAATACCTGGCCGGCCAAAAAACACCAATGGATGATTTGTTTAGGATGTATAAAAAGGACAAACTAGACGAGGTGAGCGCTAGCTCTAATTATTTGAGTTTTTATCCTTCTGAATGTCCCTGCAAACTTTTCTAAGTGAGTTGATGTAACTTCACAAGCAGCTTTTATTCAAATTAAATCTATAAAATAAGCAATCAATCTGTCAGAGCTGTAGAGCAGTAGTGAGAATCGCAGGTTGAGGAAGTCAACATGCGGTCGTTGGTGGCTGAATACACAGCTTGTGTAAGTTTATGAGGCGTATATGGTTGTCGTCGTAGTTGTGATACTAAGTTCACGTTGTGATAGTGTTTAGTCACGAGTTTTTCAGTGATTTGCGTTTTTTATTGTCTATGGAAGATGTAAATTATTTCTAGGAAGCAAAAAAAGGAGCAGACGACATGAAACGATTTTGCGTAGCACGGATATCGTTTGTGAAAGGATGGGGTCCAGACTATAGCCGCAAAAGCATAAGCGAATGCCCGTGCTGGATTGAGGTGAAAATGAACAGGTAAGCGTTTTCCCATTCCTCCACGCCTCACCTCCTTGCGTATTTTTTCATAGTTTCTTCTTCATTTGTTTTTTTACTTGTTTTCTGGTTTCAATTAATACTTACTACTGCTATAGTTTGAGAATAAGTACAATCACAGCATATGATAGGGAGGGGCAGGTGTTAGAGCAAACTCACGGTGGAATAGTTTTATTTCAAGTAGTAGCGAACGTTTTTTTTCAATGTTTTTTATCGCAACGGCAGTTAATTTTGGAGAACTTGGAGGGCTTCGAAGGACTGCTGTAATTGTTATTGCCCACCATTCTTCACTTCCGCATCCCTTCTTGGTATCTCGTTCAAATTTAGTGTGGTCATTTCGTTAGGACCGCTTTTTATTCAGGACCCGATATGGACAGTTTTTTGGGCTAAAGTCGTGAAATAAACAAGGTTAATCCAAAATGTTGAGTAGTATCACTGGTTTGAGTTGCACTTGGCTTTTGAAACTATAAAGTAGTGAAGAGATCTAGTTGTTTCGTGATCCCTTCTCCTTACTTCGTTTCATTGAAGACAGCTTCATGAACTTCGCTCAATTTTATCAGCTCGCGCACTTCAGGTTTTGTTGTATTAATTTACCGGATTACAAAGCCTAGCAGAGACATCTGAGGGGTTCTTATGGATATCTAGGCTCACATATTGTTCGCAAATTATTTGAATTTGGCTAGCCTCCTCGAGCGACAAGCAGCAGGCAGTGGCAGGAATTGGCAGAATTACTGCCGAATTTCTAAAGATTTGCGACTAATCTTCTTTTGATGCTAGGAATTTCGGAAAAGCCTGCCAAATTGCATGTAGTATAGATCCATGTGTTTCAGAGCATTCCAGTACTTGGACGAACTGATGCATGAAATATGATGGTGAGGTGAAGAATACAAACCTCTGTATATTCCTTTCCTTTCTATCGCTTCAAAGTGATGCCGTATTACCTATTTGGTCAGGTTCTATCTATCGTGTAATCGTTTTTTTTCTATTTGTTTCTCATAGAGAATATGTGTCGCTTAGCATTGATAGTGTAACTGTTCTATATTACTTTTTGATCTCTCCTGAATGTGCAACGAGGTTTTTCTCTCTTCATCGGTGTTCATTGTTATTGTTCTTCTAAAGCGCACTTTGTTATGACGGCTTCGATTTTGCGTGTACGTCGTATCCATTGGGCACTTCCAGTATGACTTGCTTAACCGATTTCTATTTTACCTCATCTTACTTGATTGATTCGAAATAGTATTTTGACCGGAATTCTTCATTTCCAAGAGTTTAATTTATGTATTAGTTAGAGTTTAGTCAAATTACCTTCCAGTAGAAAGTTTGACTTTAACTATATATTTTACAAGTTATTATTTGGCAGTCATTACATGTGTACATTACGAGAACTTGTCATAGTGTCAAGAAATCTATATAAAATACAATATAAGTTCAGGTTGTATACTTGTCACAGTTGGTACGTGTTACATTTTCTTTTCTACCATTTAACTAGTTCTGTTTGAAAAATTGATTCACAAAACAGTAGTCGGTGTCGGTTGTTAGAGTTTTAATGTCTAAATGTAGCCCCTCACCCCATAATTTATGTGATAGACAAGATTTCTGATTCTATTTGCTTTGTTTTGTATTCATGTTACTGTATACGTGATCCATTTCTGTTGTTAATTATGTACGATTAGAGATTAGGGATTGTCATAGAGAGTTTTCATATTTCTACCTCACGGATTTCTCTACCTCTATTTATGAACAGTTGCCTTGAGTTGTCATATTGGATGGTACCAGTGAAATGTTTCCAATTTCGATCCGAGTATTGTTACACAGCAATAAAGACCTTTGACTTCCCTACTGTAAGTTGAAGGGTCGCGAGTTTGAAGGCGTGGGATATCTCGAAGAGGCAAATGAGTGCATGTCGTTGGGCACTGCATACATCTGGAACGGATTGAAGCGCGGCGAGACAACTAGCTAGGAGTCGCCGCGCGGCGTGTAAAATGCGACACATTCTACGACTTTGATATTGCTGATAATAAAGCCCGCATCATAAAGTTGCAAAAATAATCACCAGAATCACTGAAAAATTTTATATTTACCTCTACCAAAGAATTCAGGGTACTTCTGGAAAGTAGTAGAAAAGTAGTAGAATAATTGCATTACTGTATTTGGTAAGTATCTAATCTAAGCATCACGTCATCCTCTTCCCCATCATGTTTACCCTTCGTTTTGTGAGGAAACATCGATGTTTCCATGAGGATGGTTAAGCTGGACGAGCGTTTCTATCTTGTTTGGAGAAAGAAGGCTGATTTGATTTTCTGTTTATCAAAATGATTACTGCTCAGCAGCAAGCATTGATTGGTATAGTGAAGATTCGTCGAGCGTCGACTAACATTAGGATAAGTATCCTGGGCGAGTACCCTCGCTCGGAACTCTTTTGCGCCAGAGATCGTCTCGAACAAACAGCCTTCGTCTGTCTACCACTGTACCCCTTGACTACCTGCAGCTGATCGTCACATCCTTCGATTCTCTCTGATTCGATTCCAATGGAGACCGTATCGGTTTATCCAACTCTTGAATCTTTTGATTTGTCAAAATATACCGTTACGGTATCGATGGACGAAACGCCATCGAATGAAACGGATTCTGTCGATCAGGACGAGGCCACCAGCGTTAGTACTGATGAGGTGGGATCTCGGACCGCGTCAGATGTTATGCAGCCGGTTCCCGTTACTCCGACTCAATTACCAGTTCGATCAAAACAGCCACGAATGGGATGTAAATCGCTGAGCCGATGGCTGTTTTCGCACATTAACAACGTACACGAAAAGACTCCGGAACATGTGGCCTTGGTAAGTTGTTAAAGATATCTTTCATCTAAATGCTCTGAAAGACCTCTAATGTTTGAGCAGAGGCGTCAACACAAATTCGTTACTGGTTTCTGTTCCGTTGTGATTCCTGTTCCGCGATTAAATTGTAGTTGAATCAAGTGGTTCACGTGGATCCTCTCGGCAAACATTAAGCTGGAAATTTGATCCTGCTCGGGNCACATAAAAGTGATTACTAGTTGTTAATGATGTTGTTAATGTTATAGCTAATTGCTTGCTATTATTATGGCTGCTTATGTTAAGTTTGACAACGAGTAAATTGCCCACGAGGTGGACAAAATTTCGTACTCCGATTGACCTAAAGTATAGACGGTTCAGGTAGGCGCCCTTCGTTTAGAAATGGGATTTTGGGAGCTAATATTTACTATTTTTGTCTTGTTATATGGAAACGAAGTAGCGTTATCAAAGGGGGATCTATTGCTTGGTGTTGAATTTTCCACCTGAAATACGCCATGCCTTCAACTCTTATAATATTGGGTTTACAGTGCATAGCCGGTCCCAAACAGTGTAGAGGTTGTAGAGGTCAGTTCTTCTGTTAAACTCGTCAACGCTGGCACCACTTGGCTGCTACTGCAGCAGTCAACTGGTGCCAGGGCTAAGGTTTGTTAACCGTGCTATGGTACCAATCAACCGACATTCACGGAGGAAATGCTTGGCCAGCAAAGAGGGAATTCAAAGTTGACTTCGATCCCTGGACCATGTCAACTAATGGCGCCTGATGTTACTACCCTACCGTTACAATCGAACCCAATTTATGGGGTGTTCGTAGCTTTAAGACAGTCCAAATAAATAACCTTGTAAACTTTTATTGACTAAAACCTTCGTAGAAACGGAGATTCGCTCGTTAATCGTAACTTTTAACAGATTGATGAAACTGGAGAGCGGCAGTATGTTACCTATGGAGAACTGGTACAGGAGGTGAATCGTGTAGCCAACTTCCTTCTATACCATGGCATCGTGAAAGGTTCTCGAGTGGCGATTTGTATGAGTAACAGTATCGAATTCATTTATTTCGAATTGGCACTATTCCTGATTGGAGCTGTACCAATTCTAATGAATCCCGGACATGTTGGTGAGCTTTTTCGACTTCATTATCCTGTAGTTATTACTTTTGACTCCGGTTTGTACAGCCAGTAACATCATGATAATATCGAGGGCATTATTCCAGCATCTGGACGCATTCCACGATTCCAATGTACCGCTCTCATCGTTGATGCTCAATACTACAACCATGCTCTTCGATCGCTAAAAAACTTTGTTGGTGCAATGGTTGGTTGGCTGTAACTAGTTTCTTCAGTCATAGACAGCATATTGTTATTCGTCTGCTTGAGAACTGAACAAATTCAAAGAACTGAACTCTTATGTTGTTTCAAGTGCCTCTTAACACAATGATTTTCTGAAAACGTTTTTCGACCTTCACAAAAGTTGCACAGGAAATAATCTTTGCTAATTTCTTACTTGCATTCTTCCATACGTCAGCTCAGCAAACTGATTACTTCTTTACTTTTTTCGCAAACTGAGTTATCCAACTGTTCTTGCTATGCTTTGTCACAATTTCAACTCTTTTGGCTTCAAATGTCGTTGGCGGGTAGAACGACGACACAGCAATCGTTTATTCAAAACAAAATTCGTTCAAAACTGAAAAAAATAGAAAAACTCATTAGTGATTTTAGATATTCACTAGTTTTCTGTCGGTGGCTGGTGAGACCAAGAACTATGGCTCTACGAGATGTATTATGTAGCCTTTCATTCAACACATGTGTCCTATGTAAATATTTATGCAAATAAGCAGATGCCTACTGTACTGTAGTACTGCTTTGTAAGTAAAAAACATAACTAAGCCATTTGCACCATTTTTTGAATTGTAAAAAATCTCAATCGTTACTTAACCGTAAGATTCACACCGGTAGGTCTTGTATAATAGTAGCAATAAGCGAATGTCTATTACTCCCTAAAACTCGATTTAAAATTAAAATATTAAATTATAAAAATATTAAAACACGAGCAAAAATAAGAAAAAATAATATAAAATATAAGATAACAAATATAAACATTAAAATAGTAAAATACAAAATATTGAATTTAATTCAAAATGAATGAATGAACTCAATTTGAAACTCAAAAGTAATGAGTGAAGTCTTTGGCGTTGATCAATCCCGCTTTTGAAATGTTGCCACGCCACGAATGTTTGACTTCTACTCACAATCGTAATGGTTGAGTGTGTGTCTGGCCTATACAATGACTTTCAATGGGCCAGTTAACCTACTCCGGAGTGGTGGAACTCTTGTTCAGCCTGGACGGGGTAATCCGTGAAGTTGCTGTTTTCTAGAAAAATCGAAAGGATTTGTTTGCAGCAGGTCTTCTGCCTCACTAAGAACATTGGCTCGTTGTCTATTCCTCGCCATGTTTGGATAATAGATGCTTTTGGATATCGTCATTTCCAATCAGAATCTTCGTGGACTGATGAGCACGATGATCATGACAACGATGTGGTCGCCTTCTCGACGAGGTTAGTTCTTGAAGCCACTGAATATCCCTGCCAAATTCGAATTTGCTAGAAAATTCCAATAAACCGAGGGGCTCTGCCAAGTATATTATTGCTCTGCTGGGTTATTTTCTATGAAACAGTTCAATTCTAGTCAATAATATTCTCAATTTTTATTGACCCTTCATTTGGAATTTTTCGCGGATAATTGAACTTCCATATCAGTGGGACACTTGAGCACCCGTTGTCATCCTGTCTTGATAGGACTGGTTGATAGAAACAGTGACTAATTTACGAAAGACAGACAACAGGAGAAACTTTTGTGGCGCAATCAGAAATAGCAGGAAGTGCAGGGGTTTTGATCCTGCCGCACGCGAACGATTTTGGTTAGTTGTCTCGCCGCACACTCTGACTTATTTGGTTGCGTTGGTTAGTTGTCCACTGCCCGGCAGGACGTCCAGGGGCCCCAACCGCTACAAGAAATTGAACAGAAAACCATCTACAATCTAGAAACTGAAATATGAGCAGTCTTCAGTAAATGTATTAAAATATGTTTTTCAGTGGCGCTACATCGCAAAGGAGCAAGGTGGTTGCACATAATTCGGCTAGTGCCCATCGACTTTGTACGGAATACCTTGACATGCTCACGGACCACCTGGAAGAGCAGATTTCTGAATCCCGTAGGCATCATCTGCTGGCAAGCGGTCTTCACACTGTGGATTCCTGGTCTCTGCTGATGCACTCCTTGACGTCAGACCATACTGTGATCCTTATGGAAACGAGTCCGGATTTCTCATCTGTCACGTCGTTGGATCGCATCGCTGAGCTGATTCAGCTGTACGATGTAAGTCTTTTGGTGTTACCAGGTAATCTAAATAGACCTATTTAGAAGAGTAACTAGTTCTTCCTATCGAACCTATCCTCCGCGAAAAGTGAAATTTCGATGTGTAGGTGGAAATTACTGAATCCTAATTCATCTTCCATCGCTATTAGGACTGAGAGAAAAAGTTTCTCCACAAAACACAAGTTACGCTGATTATGTTTGCTCCCAGGAGATGTCAGAGTGATGTCACGTATCGTTGGTTCTCGGTTTTGAGACAAGTGTCACTAATGTTTACCTAGTTCTTCTATGAGCTTTTACCTCAAGTCTGCTTGTACAAGTGGCTGTTAGCTGACGATTTGTTCTTGGCAGTTATCCAACTACTGCAAAGCTCAAAGTTCATGACGAGAATAGAGATCTCGACCGATATATTCAGCAAGAAAAACATCATGGGGGCCCTAGTATTAGTGCTTGATAACGAACACCTTTCATTGAGAGACGTTTGCTAGGTTGGAGAATATGCCACTTGAATTCGATTAAACTAATCAAACTACGTCAAGGATCCGATTCTACAGCACATTACTCGGTAGTAATTGTATTGCACCAATTGGAATGATTTCAGATTGCGTTGGTCATCTCGCAAGCACAATTTCTCAAATGTTTCTTAAAATACGACCTTCACAAATTATACGATATATCTTCACTTAAGGTGAGTAGAGAAGCTGGAGAAGCTTTTTTTGNAGTTTGAGCCAAGCCCACTGAGCAGAGTTTTCCGAGGAGGCCTTACGGAAATGGGCTGGTTTTATCTTCCAATGAATCAAACGTAAACATTTCTGGATATTCAACTTTTCTCACAAGTGTTGCGAATTTTGGGCTGATTCCGGCCTCAGACGGGACTAGAACCCGTTACTGCCTCTGCTTTTGCCAATACTTTTATGCCACTGCTTTTTTAATGCTATTTCGAGTCCTTCTTCTTGCTCATACGTCATTAGGTAGGCCAGAAACTGAAAAGAAACTGAAAAGTGAAATCTTTTCCCTTTATTTTAGTGAAAATAGTTTTTCAGGTTTTCTCTTGTAGCGGCACGTCTTTGCCTATATCATTAGCTAAAAAGTTCCAAGAAATCAATGGCACTTCCATTTTCCAAGGTATCTTATTTACAACTTATTATATAGCCTTTTTAACTGACCGGAAGGGAATGTCATACAGAACCGCCAAGTTATAAGGGAAACATTAGCCTTGGGCTAGATTCAAACCATTGACCCTGCTTGTTAAGCACCGTGCTATTCATCCCTTACAACAGGCCCAGCATAAGAGGGCGACGGCAACTGGGTCTCGGTAGTGTAAGGGATGAAAAGCACGGCGCTCAACGAGCACAATGCCAAGTTCGAGTTGTGTCCGTGGCCGGAGTTTTGCTTACAATTTGCCGGTGGTCTTGTCAACGACCATCGACGGGGCTCTAACAAACTGAAGCAGAAAAAGGATTTTATAAGGAAGGAATCTCTCTTTGACAGCTCGGCAACTTTTTCTTGGCCAATATCAGTTTTTTCTACCAGTCGTTCTCCAAACCAGGAGTTTCATGGAATTTCTCGGATTTCTGGTATTCCCGTCAGAAACCAGAAAACTTGCAGTGTCAACATGAATGCAATCGATATTAACCCTGGTGTTTGGTTCAGTATTGATCCTCAACTTACTGTTTTCTTTTTCAATTAGTATTCGCACATTATTCACTACTACATATATTAAATTGTTTTTAGTTTTTTCTTCCACGGAATGCGGACCTATATCATACAATCTGTGGACGTGTGATGAAAATATGGGTCCTAGTGACGGAAGAACTTTCAACGGAATTAGAGTCAAGGTAGAGACTTTTATCATACCCACCTTTTGAAAACAGTTTTTTTCTATTACCAATACAAGTAAATGAAAACAAAACTCCTCTGCGTCTGCTTGGAAACAGCCTTTTCCTATATGTTGCCCGCACCGCTTAAAAACTGAGCAACAACCTAGTATGTTTCTCAGTTTTTCAGCGGTACAGGCAAAATATTGGCTTTTTGCCGTTCACTTTTCCAGCTGTTTCCTTCTGAAGTGTTGTCAAACAAACCAGTCTGAAGACTTCAAGCCATTTTTGTTATTTTTAATTGTGTTTGTATAGATTACGGATATCGACGATGAGGAGAAGGAAGTGCCTCCTGGTGAATGGGGTCGTATAATGCTTCAAACCTCAGTGATGTGCTCCCGATATCTTGGTGATCATATGAATAACTCATGGACTGCTGATAACTGGTTCCGCACAGGTAAAACAGCTCAATACGTTTGGCAGTACAATTTACTGGAATTCGACTATTTATGTCGTACACGTGACTGTCGGTTGACGTAGATGTAGTACAGAATCTGAAAAATCGAAAAAAGGGAAAATAATAGAAGCCGTAGAAGTAAGGAATTTACTTTTCCCTTTACTTTATTGTTCAAGTCGGAACCAAGTCACAAGAAGTATCTAGATGTTTTCGGCAGGTGTTCAGCAAATTAGGACTTTCGGAAGTACAAATAAGGGGTCAGAATTCTGAAGTCCTGAACAATTCAATGCGAAAATCCTAATTGCAAACTGTTATTGAAGAATATTCTTTTACGTAAAATTATAAATTGTTGTCAAATGACTGCGAATGGCTTGGTAATTGTCTGTTATGGAGCTGTCGAATGCTCCTACAGAATGTCAGTGGATTCAATCTTATTGATGGTATCGTTTTTGGGCCTTATTCGAGATCTTTATTTCCCATTCTTCTCGGAAAACTTTAGTAATAACATTAAAAATTATAAAAATAGTGAGCTTTTATTGATAGTAATGACAGGATTGAATAAAATTAATTCTATCGAAATTTGTAGGCGACATTGGTATGCTAGATGATCAGAAAAGATTACACGTGGCAGGACCAAACGACGTACTGTTGAGGATTAATGATAAAACGGTACGGTATTCATAAGTACATCAAGAAAAGGCTGATAACGAGTTCTCCGTAATTCAGGTGATTACGGTAATTTTGGAAAATGCTCTTATGGCTCACCCAAACATCGAAGATGTCGTGTTGGCCAGTATGAATTCCCATCTTGCAGCTGGTGTCGTTCTGCATGAAGGCGCTGAGCTACCCACTGTGGACGATTTGAACAAGTTCATTCAAGGTATCTAACTGTAAGCTCTTCTCTTGGGAACCCACCCGGCAGGACAATAATTAATTATTTTTCTATTTTTTTTTGTTTTCTATTTTTCTATCTTCCTTTTCTAAACTTCTAACGTCTTACGAGTAGTTTTTATAGATAGGGACTAATATATGTATCGGGGTCGGATTGTTTCATTTGTTTTCGCCGAATTTTTTGAATTCTTTGGGATGGGGCCAGAAAAAAGTAAGATTCTCACTTAATAGATCGGCATGGGACCATGCCACTAGGGAGCTGTGGTTTCCGTTGTTGCTGGCAACAGTTAGGGTTGTGGGAAGACGTTCATGTCATAAGCGTTGATACAATTTTACACCCCTCACATGCCCTGAAGAAAGGCACAGCGGTAAGAGGGTTCAACTTTCCAATAAGCATTCCTTGATGACTGCTTCGAAGGCTTCTGTCCTTTTCTGGACAGCGATTGAGCCTTTCTAAATAAGGGCTAAACAGTTGCTTAGGGTCAATGTTTGGTCCAATTTGCTTCCATCTACTCCAACGATCACGAGTGTGAGTAGGAGTCACGGAGAATCAGATAGATCTGACTTACTACCAGAACATTGTCTTTGATGACTTCTTAAAAATGCAATTTTCAGATCAAAAAATCGAGACTGAGCCTCTTTCAAATATCATCCAGGTCAACTTCATTCCCCGTTCTGAAACGGGAAAAGTGATCCGTTCAGAAGTTCTGTTCCTATTGCAATCCGAGAATGATAACCGTCCCCTCAAAAGTGGTAAATAAGTGTAAAATATTGATTTAACTTTGTCGTAAGCATTCGCCTCTAAAAGCCAACATTGAGTTACTTGTCAAGTTACCTACAATGCACCCTAGTCCTGCAATGTTCCTCTCTTTTCATCCGTATTTCTTCTTAGTGTTCTTTTGTATAACGTAGTAGGATCCTTTGAGCTTCTTACTGCTACCAAACATGACCTTATTTTCTGTCTTCCAAAGCGTTACAACTTTTATTAGTACTTTACTACTACTACTTTACTTAAGGCTTTTGACAATACTGTTTCAATGCCATGTGTTTCGATCGTTTTCTTCGTGAAGCAGGGACTGACTCAAACAGCTTAGTGTCCTTGGCATTTAAGCGTTTACCCACTAATTTGTTGAATCTACAGTTTTCTATGAAAATCCCAACTATGGGCGACTTTAACATTCATTGTAGGAGCCTGAACGATTACTCTAGCGGTTTGGGACACAGTTTGCGATGATTTTAAACTGCCCCTTTTTTGAGTTGGAAAGTGTTGGTGGGGAAGAAAGCGAGACGGTTCATTGAAAACAATGCTCCGTAAAAGTAGTGAGAATAACGGAAATAGCATGGAAGGGGTACTGAGACGAAGTTTTAGTGGCAATTGCGAAAAGAGACGAGTCGCATCAGGCTAAAATTGGTCAAAACTGTCTTCCAGTGTCGGCGTGGGCTATGGTGAGTTGTTTGAGCTTCCCACCTAGGTGTCCCTTTTGGATGGCGCAGCCTTTACAGCGCCACTGGAACTCGTCCGACTTTGGGTGTGGCATACAGACGATACAATTTTTGAGCCGTTACAATGCTTTATCTAGGCATCCTACTGAAGCCGCTACATATAATATATAAGGGGTCCACAGATTCATCCTGAGGATATCTAAGAAACCATATTCTTGCGAACGGTGCACTTGAATTATTCGAGTCCACTTCAAGATAAACAAGACGACGATTCGATCGGAACGGATGGCAATGAAAATACCTGTTTCACATAAATCCTCTGACTGTGAATAGAGAATATCCACGTGTGTAGAGATTTTAGTAGTAGTAGTACTGGTAAAGGTCATGTACTGTAATGATTTTTCTTTTTTCTGTACTAGTAGTAAGCGGGTACAATGAGCTACATGGCACATTACTACTACTGTACAGAGTGGAAACTGCGGTAGGGTAGAATTTTGGGAACGTTGAAAAAAAANAAAAAAAACAGAAATTTGAAATAACAAGGGCGACTTTCCACCACTTTGAGCTCAGTTTTTCGAAGCTTCTTGAACATGGTGTTTGGTTTACTTAAACCATGTCCCGCCAACGTTTGAAGAGCTTCCGTACACTTCCCAAACTTTGTATCAGCTAAGCTTAAGCAGGTGGTTTAAGCCATATCAGGTCGGTGAGCATTATGCGGTCCAGGGTTCTGCGATTGGTTGTTCTCAGAACCTACCAATCACAGCCCATCTTCTCCACAAAACAATCTTCGCTAATCGTGTCGATGAGATTTTTATTGTATTGTGACATAGCATATAATAAATCTTGATTGTTCATCTTTCAATAAATTTCATCAGTAACTTTCAAATTTACAGGTATTCCCAGGCAACCTGGACCGGTTGCTAGATGTCATGGAGACATTTGAATTACAGTTTTCCAAATCAACATTCAACAATGTTGGTAAAAGTTCAGCGAAGAAATAGATATTTGCATTTGCTCTCATAGGGCTATCGTTCCTGTGACACTGAGGAGTTCTACGAGAACGTCGTCAAATAGGCAATGACCAAAGTGAATGAAACGCCTGAGAAAATTCCTGCAACGAAACGGGTACTACTGTAGCGTCAGGAAAGCAAAGAAAAAAAAATACAATCACAGGTATACCCTGCTTGGGCCTCCTTACCTAAAATCAAGCACAATGCGGCTGTCATTCCAGCAATCTTCGCATATCTTTCCGGCACGACCCTTGAAAATGATTTTTTTAGGAGTTTTTAATTAAGTTCGAAAATCGACAATGTCAAAGGGCCGGGTAAACTTCGAGAGCCATACCTAGGAGCATACATCATTGCAAGGGAACTAAAGTATCCTGATGTAAGAGCCATCAATATACCACCGAAGAGGAAGCTATATTCGGCTGGAATGGGAGAATAATCAGACGGAACTTTGTTGTAATGACTAAAGTCTACTTACATTTAAAGATCACAGGGAGAGTCCTGTCAAAAGGTCTATAGTTGCAGAACATAAAGAATGGGATGAAGAGACCTCGTAACAGGACGGGTATCCACAGGAATCGAGGTCGAGGCTGAAATTGAGCGTTCCGATCTGTTCTTGCAGAGCTCGAAGACAAATTTTATTTCTCTGCCGAAAAAATGGTTACAGGCAGATTTCTAAGCTATACTGTCCTATAATAACGGTTTTGATAGGGTTTTAGCGCAACAGGAGCTTTCAGCCAATCACGGGATGCGGATGTAGCCTACGACCAATCACGAGGCTTGTTGGGCACGGCGCGAAATGAAACAAAGAAAAAGAAAAGAAACGATTAAAATTTCTTGTTACCAACCCATTGAACGAAGTTAGCAATAGTAGATCCGACAGTGGCGCAGACGTTGAAGATTAAGAATGTAGTAATGAAAGTATAAAGGCGTTCTGAAATTGGCAACCATCAGAAGGTATTGGAAACGAAATCGAAATTTTTTGAACAAACCTGGCCAAATTGAGTGCCATTCCTGGCCTGGTTCCCTATAAAGCGGTGTGCTAGCCATCATTGCCGGAAAGATGGTTAAGGTAACGAAGAAGATGAAAAACACATTCCAGAGTTGTACCCAACACTGCAAATATACATTTGAGAAGGAGGGAGGAAACTACCGTAATCACCATGCACCATACTTTGACAGAAGAACCTTTCGTGTTCACCAAATTTGCCATTTAAATTCGAGCAAATCAGCCAGAAAGCTGTTCAACTGACCTTCCCGAAACATTCCCGGAACTGCCTCAAACCAGGCTTGGTAGTGTTTGACTGCACTCTAGCAGCAACTCCTTTGTCAACGTGGTACTTATAAAAACTCTGAAAAGAATTTCGTCATGACGCGTTCTTAATGTAAATAATATACTTTTAATTAAAACCTGTCTTGTAAGTATTAGTAAAGAAAAACCGCACAAGCAGAGCATGAACAGCGAAATAGAAAAGTAAGTAATGGCAATTGATCGCACATCAGAAAGAACTGAAAATACAATGCATAAAATACCGTCAATCAGAATAGCAAGCTGGTCCCGATTGGAAAAGGCTTACTCATTGTAACAAGAATTGAAAGTACTGTAGTGAATGTGCCACAAAGATTATTTCCAAGTATAAGAGCGTTCGTGTAGGCAGCTGGAAAGTCGGCGAATAACCCGAATGTCGAATTTTGATAAAGACCATTGGAAAAGTTGATGACGGCCACGATAACCAAGGTGGCCACGTAGAACCAAGCCATATCTGAAACCCAAGATAATCGTGTAGTATGCGCCATGCATACTCCTTCAATGCCAAATTCCAAAAGGAGGGATTGTCAGAGCAGCCCCACTGGAGTGTTTCTAACAAGAGTAAGTACGAGCTATAGTATCGATCGAGTACAATAGTTGTAAACATAAAGACAAGCCTCTAGAGTCATTATCTGGAAATTGGGAGCGGGGAAACGGAAAGTATTGCTCAAGGAGAGTACTGCTTAGAGCAAATCAATAAGAACTGGTAAATCAAACAACCAAACTTTCTCCCGATCTGGATTTGAAAGTTTCTAGAAAGCTTTCGGTTGCTTAGTCAGTAATCAGTTGAAACGAAATGAATTGGAAGTTCAAGAAGAGTAAAATTGTAGTCGTTTCGATTTGCAGATAATGCTTGGCATAGGAGAGGTCAGTGATAAAATTCGTTCATAGGAAGGCTTTTTCCCCAATCTATTGTTGCTTTTGTACAAAAAAATTAGGCGTTAAAATGGTACTGTAAAAAGGTCGGTGATGGTTACAGTACTCTATAACTTACCATTTTCAGAAGGTAGGACGAGCACAATCAGCATGATTGTGACGAATACACTTATGCAGTTAACTACTATCGGGCCAGCTATTCGGAGCAGAAGGGCACCTCTGGAAAGTTGGATTACAGAATTTCATCAAAAGTACTGTATTTCCATGAACATACCCGATGACTACAAATGTATTTACAATATTGATTAAAACATTTGGAAGTTGTGCTGCTATTCCCAACGAGCTCATAAAGTTCTTCGAGTACTCGGTTTGCGTGTTATTCGGTGAGAACCAATATTCAACATAGTACTTAAAATAATGATTGTTACTTTTAACAGTAATAATTCCATTTATAAAAAGCTATTCCGAATAGCTTCTGAGGAAAGAACCTGAGGTGCTATCGTGATGAACATATTCCATGGCATCAACACGCCTATACCATGAAGCAATGCTATGAAGTAAACCAGTAGGCACTAAAACAGAAAATTCATCATTCAAACAACAAGTATTTCTGAAAAGTAGAAGACTAAAAAGCACATGACTGATCGCTGTTTTGGAGTGCGCCACGCAGCTAATTAACAGCAGCGATTGTGAGGGCTATCAATTGCAACGGTTTCAGGCTGTTTGATGAGCCACCTAAAGTGCTCCTTACTCAGGGAAACAGGAGCTGTAAGCAGAGTTGTCAGTAGGAAGGTTTAGTTAATAGTCACGTCCCATTCAGACCTCAACCTGCTTACCCATCTTATGGATGCACAAGGACCAGAGGTGGGGGGCTTTTTGTAACTGCACATACCAGTAGAACTATTAGCTGCTGAAACGAACACTACAGGTGGTGAGCCCGAAGAAACTCGCAAATGAAAAGTGAATTAGGATCAAAAGTGCAAATTCTTTTTCCGTCGTGAACGGATCTTTTCAATACTGCGCGGTCCTTCCTCCCTGGCGTGAGCCTCAGAGACTTTGACATTACGCAGACAGGACAGGACAAGACGGACGATGCTCAGAATTTCCCGATACTCCGTCAACGAACGAAGATCAGGAACGTTGTTGCTTATGTCGAGAATTCGAAGACTAGCTGAGCCCAGCAGATCACACGATTTTATGATGACCCTTGAACTAGGTCGGTATTGGCTGCTGAGCCCTCTGGAGCTCTTGTGATTCTCTAGCTTTTTNGCGTGAGCTGTTGTAGCACATGAGTTGTAAGCTCTTGTAATGTAGGTAAGTGTTGTTACTGATTTGATCCTCCTGGATGTCAAACGAACAGCAGCACGGCCGCTATCGCGATGACCAGACTACTTCACGAAAGCTCTGCACAGCAGCAACGCTGTGCCTCGTGTCTCTCGAGCTGGGACGATCCCTCGGAATGCTCTGGCTCGTGACGGAGACGAATCGAGAGGTTAGGAAGTCGCTGATCAACAGGGCAGAAGAATGAAATTGAAATTAGGTTAAGTGACCGTCCTTTCCACTTCCCCGGGCCCTTGGCAGTACTCCCTAAGTGGTACCAGTGGTTATCTCTTGATAGCTACATTTGATACAACGCATCATATTTGAGCATTGTTAAGCATTGTTGTTGATTTTCTTTTGTTTACACCTACTAGTTAATCAATAAGCAATGAGGCTCACGTTGTCTTTTGGTGGTGTGGGTTCCAGTTTCATGTTGTTGAGAAATGCGGCTCGTTCGTTAGCTGAAACAGAGATTCATTACTTAAAAAAACTTGAAAAAGAGAAAAATCTCTGTAACCGCTCCCTAAGTAACTAATTTCAAATTAAAGGAGTTCCTATAAGTGTAGCAGTCTTCTCAAATGTGTATTTGATGGCAATCTTTGTTGACACCATTTTTCCTGTGCACATTCCCTTGGATAGGAATCCTATCTCGAAAAGGTTTCTCAGCATACCTATGCCTATGGCTGCTTTTACCTGGGAAATAGTCCTATGAACAGAGATGAATATCGGATGGTCGTGCTTTCCGTAATATGAACTTTGCACTAAGCCAAAAGAATTTGGTCCGTGTTCCACCGAAAAAGTGCCAGGACAAAGGCGAAGAGACAGTTAAGGACAGAATGAAGAGACATTAAAGGTGACTGTTGGAAGAAATCGATGATTAAGTGGACAACAGGTGATTCAAGTGGAATACAGAATCCAGTCGCCTCAATGCACTTTTGACAATAACTTTCTAAACTAACACAAGTGAACAGAAGTACATGAATAGGGATGCTATAGCTCCAACGAAGTTACTAGGGCTGGTTATGGATCGGAGTGGTCATTTTTGATAAAATTTACATCATTTAACCTGATATTGAAAGATGATCCCGAACATGTTCGTCAAATGATTGGGAGGTTTTTTTTTCTGAGTGCAAATACCAATATTTTTTAGCCTATGGTAACGGAATGGGTAAAAACTTGATATCTCGCAAGACAGCTCGTATACTCGATGAGGTACCTGATTAGTGATTGCGGAGTTGCTCTCCCAGGTTCGAATTCCTCCAGTGGTTGAATTTGCCTACATAATTAAAGGTGTAATAATGGTATCCTGGCGTGGAACAACAGGGACCCAAATCTTACCAATAAGACACCTTGTTATCAAACTGAATATCGCGATAAGCTGAAACTGTTGGAGGTACGGTGAAAAAGTGTAGTTGGAAGCTTTTGGGAAAAGGAGACATTTCCTGCCTCGCACTTCATCGATTTAGATATTTCTGGGATGCAGGTAGAACCTTCAGATAGTCATACTAGCCTAAACATGCAGCAGAATTTGTCAGATCGCCTGAAGGGATAAAGTGATGTGATTTTTTGTGGCATCATTTAGTTTCATTTTGAATATTATTTTTCTCGTCAACCACTTTTCTTGAATGCCTTTGGACCACTATGGGTTAAAGGGATCTCCTTGGTACGTCTAACTGTACGTTGGTCCTATCATCTACCTGCGCTAGGATTCCACGCAAATTGAAGGCACCGTTCACGATAAAAAAGGTTATTGAG